CCCAGGGCCACCTTTGCCCTGGGGCACCCAGACGGCGGCACAGCGCCCGCACCCAGACACTGCCTGTGTTCACGGCACAGCAGGCCCAGGGCGGCGCGGGGGCGAGTGCTGCCCTTTCTGGCCCACACAAGGGGCATTGAGGGCTGGGTGTGGGCAGAGCTGGGCCCCATGCAGCACCTCGTGTGTCCCACCGTGTCCTGCTGCCCACACTGCTGTGTGCAGGAACCAGGGTCGGTGCCCTGCATTGGTGCTCAGGGGAGCAGCTGAAGGCTGTCCTGGAGGAGGGAGGTGACAGAGCGATATCAAGAGTCAGAATTGCTGAGGTTTGTGCCCATCGCAGCAAACACCGTGCAGGGGAGGTGGGGCCCAGGCTTTCCTCAGCAGCGTTAGGCTTACAGTTGGACTCGATGATCTTGAGGGTCTTTCCCAAACTAAAGGACTCAGTGATTTGCACCTGCCTCTGCCCCCTCGGAGCTCCCACAGACACCACCCACCCCGGGCCGGTGCCCGCTGCGCCAGGGATGAACATCTGATGCTGCTGAATGCGTTCCAGGGCACAGGGCCAGGGCTCCCTTGGCAGTGGCACCAGCCCTGGGCCGTGCCCCGAGCCAGCAGCTGCTGCTGTCCTCAGTCCCGCCCGGGAAATTATTTATTTGCTGAAGAATGGCTTTTCCCTGCTCCAGTGCTGAGGGACATCCTCGGTTACCAGGAACAAATAAACAGTGGGAGTCTCCGAGGCCCTGATGCCCTGCAAACACTGGTGCTAGCCCCAGGGCTGGTGGTGGCAGCTGCGCGGGGTCAGCGTGGGGAGCAGAGGGTCCCCAGGACAGGGCTGCAGGCCGTGTGGGGCTGGAGGGGACCCTGGCAACCCCTCCCTTTGGAGACCAGCAGGGCTGGAGAGCCCTGAGAGCAGAGGCTTCTGCCAGGGAGCTGGGGCAACACAGCCATTCTCGCTGACTGGTAACGGGGGAACCAGCACAGACTGTTGGAGACACCAGGACAGGCTCTCACTGCAGCAACAAGCATCTTCTCCACCTGTGCCGCGGAGGACGCTCATCACTGCACCTCTGTGTCCACCCAGACAATCAGTGTGCTGTTCCTGGTCACTCAAAGGGCTGCTTGTCCGTGGGATGTCTCCTGGAACAGTGCAGGGCAGTTCTGATGGAAGGGCCGGACCAGTCGGTTTTGCCACTCGGCCACGGGTGGATGGAGTAATTCAGCCCCAGGATTTAGTGTGGTGCCAGAAACCTGTTCACCTCCTCAGATGGCTGCTGTGGGCTGTGCACAAACTGCAGTCCGAGCTGGTCTCCCACTTGACTGTGGGGATGGCTCCTGGGCACAGTCCCAGCTTCCCAGAGAAGGATCTGGCCAGGCACCTACTCCCCCTGACAGCTGAGCACTGTGCCAGTTCCCAATCCTGAGGGAGCTGTCCTGCTCAGAGACAGGAGTGCCCTGTGCCCCAGCCCCATGCCAGCGGCAGGACAGGCCGAGGTGGCACTGAGCCGAGCCCTCTCCATTCTGTTCCCTACTCAGATGTGCACAGAAAAGCTTTGAAAACACAACAGATTGTAACAGAAATCCCTGCTAGACACTTGAGCAGTTGTACAAATAATCTACCTCCAAAAGGGCTTCGCTCTGAGCAGGCAGAGCACTGGAGACTCCAGAGCCTTCCAATCAGCACCATTCGGTGCCACAGTGCCTCGTAGGGCTGTAGGCAACACCCTCCTGAATTTGGGATGCTCACAAGCATCAGCTTCAAGCTGCTGTTCCTCTTGACCCTTAGGAACGATGCTGATGTCCAAACTTGCCACTTGATGGATGTTCAGTGCCCAGTAATTAGTGTTTTTTCCCCTCCCTTGATTCCCGCCATGCTGTGACTGACTACACCCAGTAGCACGTCAGGGATCTGTGTTGTGATCCGATCCTTTGGACAGCACACCCTCCCTTGGCAGCATGACTGCTCCCGTGGCTGGGGTGGAAGGTGACATCTGGAGCACACCCTGGCATTGTTACCAGTCTGTGCAGGGCAGCACAGGGCACACACCTCTCCCAGGAGGAGCCCAAACACAGCCAGGCACGATTCAGGCTCCTGGGATGGCGGTATGTGGATTTGGCATTCTCACAGCACTGTGCTCCTGCTTCTGGGGGCCCTGTGTGCTGGGCAAGCAGCTCGTGCCCCCCGGAGCTGCTCACTGCTGGCCACAGCAGGATGTCTGGATTTGGGGATGCAAAACCATTTGTAACCCTGCCTGTCCCTGTGGGAGCACGGAGCGAGCCAAGGAGCCAGTTCCCACAGCAGCACGCTCCAGCAGCCTGGCCCAGAGCTCTGCCAGGACCACCCCCTTCCCTGCCAGGCACGTCCCAGCCCAGTGCAGCTCCAGAGACAGCCTGGGCACAGCTGGTGACATCACGGTGCCACCACCGCTCGCAATGCTGCCATGTATGGCAAACTGCACCGCACGAAGTCAGGCCTCCCTGGGTAAAACTTGGTTGAGGCTTAGAAACTCTTCCTTGAGTGAGCAGAATGAAGGTATTTTTTCCTAAATGGAATCTGGATCCAATCTGTGAACTCCCTGAAGGGTAGGGAATGTCTCATTTTCGAGTGCATTGGCCGCACTAACACAAACCATGAGAGCTGCAGCCCTCACGCTCCAGCAGCACTGAGGAACTCTTCCTCACAATCAGAACCAAAAAAGGCCTTTGGATTACAGCTCCAGCTTCCAGTCCCAGAGAACTCCACAGGGGACAAAGGCAAACTGTTTAACCCGTGCTGTGCCTTGCAGGTGGGAGCATGAGGCCCTGGGACTCCCGAGGTGACACCTCCAGCCTCAGCCCTTCCCTTGTCCTGTCTCCTGACCTCCCCAGTGTGCACACCAACACACAGAACATGGGCTCTCAAGCTACCCTCCAACGGGTTCTCTGGGCTATGAGCTGCGCAGAGAGCCACACCAGGTGCTGACAGAATCCTTCAGTTTCCACGAAGTTCCCTAAAACCTCTCAGCCAATTTGTTTGTACCTGTAAACACTTGAACTCCAGCACAACACAAAACTTTAAATATTTGCTCTTAAGCTACTGAAGTGATAAATATTGACTGCAAACATCTGTGAATCCTAGTGAAAACTTCCTTTTCTAATCATCTTCAGGTTAACCACTTTTTGCACCTTAAAATGAACCAACCTCACTACCTGCACTGCCTGCTCAGAAGGACATGAGCTGCCAGCTTGTGTTTCATCAGCAGTCACAGTTCAGACTCACTTCTGAGTCCTCCCATTTCCCTTCCCACAGCTCATGACTTCTGCCTGGCTCTCTCACCCCCCAGTGCCCAAGAACCATCAGGGACACGTCCAAAACAAACTCCCTTTAATGGTGCACAGGGAGCCAGCACTCCCTATGCCTTGATGGCATATTTCCTGGCCGGGTACAGACGCTCCTTTCGCTGCTGCTTCTTGGTCTTGAGGTGCTCCTCGTGCTTGTTGAGCCTGCGCCGCATGGCTCGAGTCTTCTTGGGCCGCAGGTCCAGGGGCTTGTACTTCTTGCCCTGTTTGCAAGGACACACAACATCAGCTCAGGACAGAGCTCGCGCCTCTGTGAGCTCACAGAGCCAAGCACTAGCAGCACTCTTCAAGCTTCTTTCCCTTGGGACTATCCTTCCAGCCTCGACGTTTAGAGGCCTTGTCTCCACTGGGAAACAGGAGCTGATCCTAACTTTGGCAGCACTTGTATCAGCTCTGACTCACGTTTAAGCAATGCCTAGCCCTACATGTTCCAGTTATCCAACACCTCTTGGAAAGTTCTTTTCTACCCTCATGACATGTAATTCAAACCCCAGGAATTAACATTCTCAAAATTACAGAAACTCATTGAATTAAAGAGCTTCTTGGTCACTGAGCATGATTAAAATTTAAATTAAGAGAGTATCTGCATTTCTGCAAACTGAATCCTCCAGGATGTTCACCACCCCAGCGAAGAGATGCTGAAGACTCTCTTGGCAACAGCAAACTCACACTGAGCTTACTTACAGAGAAACTTATATTTAAAAAGGAACCATGACCAGAAAATGTTAAGACTAAACACAAATGACCATTTCTCAATTGCGTTTTAAGCTTTGAAGTAGCAACCTACACAATCAGCTGCTTCCCTACCAAATCCAACTGCAAACAACAGGAGGCAAAAGGCCACTGTGGAAAGCATTTGGCCTTACCTTGTAGAACTTCCTCAGATTCTCCTTCTGGGTCTGGTTGATGACAGTGAGCACTCTGGCGATGGACTTGCGCACCACGCGGCTGTGGGGGAGAGAGAGCTGTGTCTGAGAACACTCTGCAGCTCACGGGTCTGCACCCAGGGCACAGACACGATGCGTGCTGCAACACGGCACAGCAACACCAACAAGCGCTGGAACATCTCAGCTTAACATCTCTGAGCGACTCTCAGGCTGCAGAGATCCATCCCGCAGCCCCCACCCTCAGCCCCGGCCCGCACTCAC